CTGTGGAGCGCCAAGCTCACGCACTATACCACACATGTACCATCCGGGATCCACGGGACCTGCCGCGCCGCTGTGCGATCTTGCGCGAGTGCACTCGCCTGACCGACGTCGATCTGCCGAATGACACGTCGGTCCTCGAGGCCGTCATGACGCCCGCGCACCGCGTCGCGTCGATCACAGCGTCGTGCATCGAGACCGACGCGAGCTTCCTCATGGCCTTGGGCCGATGGCTACAGTCGACGCACGCCACGTCCTTGACGCTCGAGTACCAGCACATGGATCGCCGCGCCGCGGTCAGCGCCGCGCTGGCGCCAATGCTCGCCAAGACCACGTCGCTCGAGCGTCTGATACTGCGAAGTAGCGTGCCCGGCGTTGCCGCACCCCTTGTCGCCGTCGCCCCGGCGTTCGAGCGCCTGGCGCAGCTGGACATCACGGTGCACGAGGCCGACAAGGCCGCGTTGTGGTCGTTTCTGGAGCGTCTCAATCGCACCAAGCTGTCCTCGCTGCGCGTTGTCTGCAACGACATGCAGCTGAGCCTGCTCGTCCCCATTCTTTCCACGTTCCCAGCCCTGACGTCCCTTCAACTCCGAGACGGCATCTACGTGCCGAGTACGCCGCCAGCAAGTCGGTTCCCCTCGTCGCTGCGGCACCTCGTTCTCGATAGCACTCGCTTCAGCGCAGGTTCGTGGAGTGACTTTGCCGCCCACATCCCACCCACATGCGTTCTCGAGAGCTTTTCGTTGCAGTTTTGCTCGCTGAGCAACGCGTTGTTCAAGGCGATGCTCGTCTCGCTCTGCGACTGGATTCGCCGGGGCCTCCGACGCATGACCTTCAACGAGACGTACCTCGGTGACGAGTGGGTCGAGGCGCTTGCGACTGCGCTTTCGCACACGGTGAGTCCCGTTGGCGTCACCATCGATATCGACGACAACGATCTGTGCCGCTCCACCTTTGCTCACGTCGACCGCGCCCTCGCCACCTGCCGCGGCATCTCGATCGCGCTGCCGCCGCTGCAGGGGCTCTTCAACGCAACGCTTCCGATTCAACACGTCAAGTACCGCTACGAACGCAACGGAGACCGCATCCACCGCATCGTGCTTGAAAGCCCGAGTCGAAACGATGTGTAGCATTGAGTTACTACTTTGTTCTCTTGAGTTTGAATGTGGGTTTGAGAAGAGACATGTGCGTCCAGAGGGCGTATTCACCCAACCTCGTCCGTCAGCAGCATGCATCGATTGCACAACTGTACTCGGTCTGGATACACTCGTGCTCCGACGCGCGTACACGTAGGAAACCCACATATCGTCTATCTATCTATCTATATATCTATCTATCTATCTATCTATCTATCTATCTATCTATCTATCTATCTATCTATCTATCTATCTATCTATCTATCTATCTATCTATCTATCTATCTATCTATCTATCTATCTATCTATCTATCTATCTATCAATAGCGAAATGGCAGGATGAGCTTCAGAAAGTACACAGTCTTGGTTGGACAACTCCAACAGTATGGTTAGACCCCGTTATCGCGCCGTCGACAACTCACGCCCCGTATGTCGACGCGGGCAGAGCGATCCTGATCGCCGATCGAGCTCGTAGTGGCCAGCCGTTGTCGTCGCCAAGGCCTCGTGTATATCAACGTACGCTTCGCATGTCGAGGAGCTGCTAGCGTCACTTGCAGAGGGCACCAAAGTGACGGCGCTCAACGAGCCCACCGAGTCGGTCGACCTGCCGCTTGCGTTGGCCCTCGAGCGTCTCCGGCTCCACGGTCATCTCTCCTCGACCTTTGGCTTTGGCGCCTTCTGCCACTTGGTGGTACCAACCGCCCGGAGATGCGATGAACGACGTCGTGCCATGGCTCGTGCGTGACCTGGCTCAACACCACCCGCGCACTGCAGACACCGAGTCTGACGATGCATGATGTCACCGCCATGAACGCTCTACAAGCCGTACTGCCGCAGCTCCTGGCACGTGGCCTCCAACGTCTGGCGCTCGTTGTGGTCGAAAATCCCGACGCGAGCTTGCTGATGCAAAGCAATTGTCCAGCGCCGCAACACCCGTCGTCTCGACGGGCACCTCAATGCACCAAAGTCCGAGTGCACTGAGAAGGCCAAATGCTCCCCACGACGCGTCGCCATCGTTGTCGACGTACGGTGCGTCAGCCACGGCGCCACTTCGACCATGTAGAGGTAACAATCTTGGGCCGCGGCCAAGTTTGGTGATAGCTACCTGCGAAGCGTGCGGTTGCGGCCTGACATAACCTCGACGATCTTGTGGTCGTCGTCGGTGATT